AATTATATTCTTATTTTGTTTTTTTTAAAAAAACAAGGTGATTGTGCCATCCTAATAGGGTAAATTCCCTACATCAGCAGCCCCCAACCTTTTGGGAACCAGGGACTGGATCTATGGAAAAAATTGTTCTATGGACTGGGAGGGGCATGGGTTCATGTGCTACCTAGATCCTGCACATGTGCAGATGAAACTTTGCTCACTTGCATGACCCATCCTAATGGGCTACAGCCCGGGGATTGGTGACCCCTGCCCTACATGAATGCGGATTAAAGGTTAAAAAAAACCCTAACGTTAAATCAATTTCCCTCATCAAATCCATCCCATATATTTTTCCATAGAGGGAGGGAAGGAAAGAAAGAAGAAGGGAGGGAGGAAACCTTAGTACAAATAATGCATTAGGTGTTGAGTTTGGTTGTAGCCATGTGTATGGAGGCAAAGAATAGATCTGAGCAAGTTCGATGTTTTATTTTTCTACATTTAAAAATAATGGTTCTGGTCCCAGCTGCAATAAGTAATGGTTTCTTGGCAAAACAGCTTTCAGAAAGGCCTCTGAAGCTGGTTTTAAAACCACCTGGAGAAAATAAAGTGTTTTGCTACCAAATATACCTTACTTAAAAAAGAAATTCCAATTAATACATTAGGAATGTGGGGATAACATTTATGCAGAAATTATCTATGGGAGGAGAGGGAACTGGAGAAGGACAAGCAGAGAGAGCAGAACTTGCTTTCTGAAGGAAACAGCCATATGTGTTTTCACCAAGTTCTCTTGGAAGGGTATGCTGGCAATAGGGGAAAGTTCAGCTTTCGGCAAGCACAACATATACCAGCAGAACCCCTGTTGTCTTCTTGATCTCCACCTTCAGATCCACACAACAAACCATCAGATCTCCTGATCTGCTGTATGGAGATATAGAAAGTCTTTGTAAGTTGGGTCAAATAACATATTTGTTCAAGATTAAATCCAAGATGGCTGCTGTTTACATCAACCCTGTGACTTGAATTTCAAGTATACAAAAAGTCCGTATGAAGTGCGTTGTTATAGCTCAGTGTTTCTCAACCGTGTCAACTTGAAGATGTCTGGACTTCAACTCCCAGAATTCCCCAGCCAGCATGCTCTATCATATGGTTGCTTTCAGGTGGAAATCAAAAACCATCAGACAAAACACACTAAACTCTGAATATTTTGAGCTGCTCTATTCAATGGCTATCTTGGGGAGGGGGGGGGAAGCAGCCTTGGTCAGCATCTGTATGGAAGAAATTTCAAGGCTGGAAATTGGGAGTATGAAGTTGTTCTTCCATCAAGGAATAACTATCCTTTCTGGCCAACTCCAAAGAAAACTACAGAGATGAACCCACAAAGTCATTTTACATAGAGCATGCACAATAATAAGATGGCAACATACTTTTACTAATCATAAAAAACTGAGCAAGGTTAGCTGATCCAGCCATTCTAGGGTGGTTCCACAGTTTTACAGAACCAAATAATTCATTGTGTTCCAACTAGTATGATCTATAAAAGGAAATGGAACAGTCTGGTGTTTCCTAGAACAATAGATTTTGCACATTCCTCATATTTGGATGGAAGACAACCAAGAAATCCCCTAACTATAGACTGACTAAGGAAGTTCAGTGGGTGGGTGGGAGAATATGACTGTCCCAAAAGACATTTTATTATTATATGTAATATTAAATAACCAATAAAAGCAAAGTGGTTGTAAATCTGCATGGTCATGCATTGACCTAGGTTAGCCTGTTGCTAACCTGTGCTATACAAGAATAAAATACTGGTGGTGTG